TGGTTGCACTCTGAAGAATGACTTAAATGCATTTGAGCATTTTGAATTTTCAAAAACTTTAGCTTTTAGACACACATGTTTTCCAAGATATATTCTCCAAGTGGGACTGGGAAATGAGCAAATGTTTGCCCTATTATTTTTTTTTTAAATGATGCGCCTCTTTTGTGGTTTGCAAGTATTTTACTATCAAAGTTAATACTAATGAGGGCTGTTTGTGTAGCTGACATCCTGCCAAGCCCCTTTATAGGATGAGGAAGAAAGTGATACACCTTTAAGTCCTAACTTAGGGAACTAATCCAAACCCAAAGCCCTTTTCTTTCCCCTCAGCTCTGTGAGTTCCTGGAAGATTGATGCAGCTGTTCATCACCAGGACTTTCTTGCCTGGTCTGGTTGGAGGCTGCTGCAGAATTCTTAAGGACAGGCTCAGTGAGTTTGCCGGCACGCCTTTGAGGAAGTGCATGGCAAATGCTCAGCGTTGATAAACTGAGGCTCTGTCTATGAATGAACTCAACTGGCATCTAAAGGCCTGGAATTAGGACTTTAGCTACTTCGTGGTTTGAAAAACATAGTGTTGCCCTTTCCTAGCTTCTAGAATTCATACCCATGTAAAACTTTCAGCACAAATATTCCTTGTTCTATTTTTCAAGGACCTGAAGGAGGAAGAAATGCCTTCAGCTCAGTAAGAGTCACCTATGTCCTGAACTTGGGGCTTAAATAATATTTCCACATTAGCAACGAGGTATGAGGGAGATTTTCCCATCAAAGGGAGGAGTTCTCATTAGCCACATGCCAGGAAGCTGCTTTTTTTTTTTTTAACAGACTTTTTTTTTTAGAGCAGTTTTAGGTTCACGGCAAAATTGAAAGGAAGGTACAGAGAGTTCCGTACCCCCTCCCCCAACACTTTCATAACCTCCCTCCTTATCAACGTCCCCACCAGACGGGTACGTTTGTTACAACTGAGGAACGTACATTGACATCTCATAATCACCCAAGGTCCACAGTTTACATTGGGGTTCACTCTTGGTGTGGTACGTGCTGTGGGTTTGGACAAATTTATTACGACACGTATCCACCACTACCAGGAAGCCTTGTAACTCAGGGTTAGTAATCTGTTCGCCACATCATTCAAAACCATGAGTGGTTCGTGCATTCACATTGCTATATGGGTCACCCTGAAAGGGCCAAGTGGAATTTAAAATCAGGAAAAAGGGACTAAACTTTCCATAATGAGGTATAAGTATGTCCCAAATATTGTAATATTTGAGATTATTTACATTAAAATTTATTAACTATTTACCAAAATTCAAACTTAACTGGGAATTCTGTATTTTATCTGGCAAAAAAAAAGTCATGCAGTCAAACTGTCTTTAAAAGGGGAAGGAGGGAGTCTTTCTTGAAAACTTGGAAAGTATCCAGAGGTAAATAAGACTGTAAGTGCTGACTCAAATCCTTATCATAACTCTCGAAATATAAAATTATGCCACTTATATAAATTAATGAGTCTCTAAACCAGCGTGAGTTGAACATTTACAACTCAAATGTTTTCCCATTAGCTTATGTTAAAATTTTAGTGACGTTTCATCCTCACTTCTGATTAATCTTCAGTTGGTTGTTAATCTTAACTTTTTATGTTCCCAGGTTCCTAAATTAATGATCTATTCAGGAATTTTTGACTAGAGCCCAGGGAGCTCACGGTGTGAATTCTTTTGTGGAACAAAGTGTTTTTTATTTTTTTGAAAACTATTGTATTTTGATTAATCACCCCAAATATATCTGTTTTGTAAGTTCAGATTTCTATACAAGCATGGTTTTTTGAAATTGGGCACACTTGTATTTATTTCCTCTTTAATAAGTTATTGAAAGAAATCACAAAGAGCACTTTAAAAATGAGTCGTTTTTAAAAATAAGTAGTTTGTTTCTTTAAATCAGAGTGATTTAAAGGTTTTTGTGTTGTTTTGTTTTTAAAGAAAATTTCCTATAGCAAGTCCAGTTGGAAAGTAGTCCAAAGGAAAGGACAAATTAAGAATGCTGTCCCACTCTCCCAGGCCCCCTTGAGAAAGCAGGAGGCTCAAGATGAGGCGTGGTGAGAGTTAACCCTTTAAAGCCGCAGGAAGCCGGGGAGAGAAGGTCAGTTCGGAGATGGTTCTTCAGCAGTCATATGGGCAGTGACTGTGCCATTCAGGGCAGAATGGCCTTTCCAAGTGATATGGGTTTTTCTTTTGGAGGCTTTCATTTCATAATGATGCAATTCTCAGCTGAAGTCCTGGTATTCCCTTGAAAAAGTAAGAACTCTTGCTTTCCACCTCTTAAAGTGACCTGATTCATTTAACCTACAGTTAGGAAGGCCTCCAGGGACCAGACCCTACTCTAAGCACTTGGGATCCATCAGGGAACAAACCTAAGTTTCTGCCTCTTGGAGGTGACATTCCATCGGAGAAGAAAGATGATGAATACCAAACCTAAGAAATAAGTTAGATAGTGTGTTAGAAAGTAGTAAGGATTGTACTGGGAGTGGGGGAGAGCAGGCAGGGGATCTGGATTAGGGGTTGGGGAGGGATTGTGTTTTAAACAGGGAGGTCAGAGTGGGACTTGTTGACTGTGGCATTTGAGCAAAGACTTGAAGGAGATATAGAAGTGGCCACAGGGAACAGCCAGCACAAAGGCCCTGAGTCCCTGGCTGTTTGAGCTGTGGCTCTCTATCCAGATGATTTTGCCCCCAGGGAACATTTGCAAAGACTAGAGACACTTTAGTTTATCATGGCTGGGTTGGAGTAAGGGGGAAGGATGCTACTGGCCTCTTCTGGGTGCAGGCCAGGGATGCAACTCAACACCCTGCAATGCACAGGATAACCTCCCACGACAAAGAATAATCCAGGTTCAGACGGTTTGAGGAACAGTAAGGAAGCCAGGGCAGCTGGAGGGGAGAAAGTAGGAGGAAAAGAGGGGGCCAGAAGTAATGAAGGCTGGAGGAGTAGGGAGGTCAGGTCAGGCAGGGCCTTACAGGGCAATGTGGACTTCGGCTTTTATTCCAAGAAGATCACGGAGCCTTTGGAGGGTTTTGAGTGGAGGGAGGCATGATCTGTGTTACCTTTTTTTTTTTGAGACAGAGTCTCACTCTGTTGCCCTGGGTAGAGTGCAGCGGCATCATCTGCAACCTCAGACTCCTGAGCTCAAGGGATCCTCCTGCCTCAGCCTCTTGAGTAGCTAGGACTACAGCTTTCTGCCGTATTTCAGCATTTGCTTTGGCAAATCGAGTAAAAGAAAAGTAACTATTGAAACAATTTAATATATTTCTAAAAGAGGAAAACAATTTAAACTCCTATTTATTAGGTATCAGGCTTTTTATGCTCCCCTCACCTCATTTTCAGGTACTTTATTAATAGTATATTTAGGGTTATAAGTGGCTTGGAGAAATAGACCTCAGAAGAGTTGTTAGCAGGAGTAAAGGTTCTTTGCCAAACCTGTGTTAAAACATAGAAAGATTACATTGTGTCTAATCTATGTGGAATTGTTTTGTCATAAACCTAACCTATTTAATTGTTAAAAAATATCAGGTATCCTATGTGTAGAACAAAATCTAGCTAAGGCAACGTGATCACATATGTGTGTGTACAGTATATAAAATATATGATACATAATAATGAAAAGATTGGGGATTGGAATCCCAAGAATGCCTTACTGCTTGATCTCTGAAATTTAGCACTGGCTGTTTTGGCTGCACAGAAGTCACAAAGCTGGTTCTACCCTGGCTGAAGCCCCACCACTTCTTGCCTGGATAACCACAACAGCCCCTAAACTGGTCTCCCTCATTCCACCCTTATCCCACCCAGCACCCGGAGAGATACTCTTAAAATGGTAACTCAGATGAGGCCAGGTGTGGTGGCTCACACCTGTAATCCTAGCACTCTGGGAGGCTGAGGCAGGAGGGTCTCCTGAGCTCAGGAGTTAGAGACCAGCCTGAGCAAGAGCGAGACCCCCATCTCCACTAAAAATAGATAAATTAGCCAATCGTGGTGGTGCACACTTCTTGTCCTGCTCGCAGCAAGCGGGAGCCGTGCGACAGCCTGCAGCAGAGGCTGGACCTCACCCCTGGGGTCAGGGCTGCATCTATCCGCAAATGACATCTCATCTCATTTATTGCTATGATACATTTAAGTGCCATTGGACAGTATCATTGGACTCTTATTAAAGTCATGCTGTTCAAAGGAAGTGGTAAATTAGTCTCTCTGTTAGTGAACTAAAAGCTGTTTTCCATTCCTTAATGTTTTTTAAGGAAGTTTTAAAATACATTTGCATTCCTGAGCTCTTCATTTGTTCTGGTCTTGTCCCCCTCAGCTGTGCAGAGCCGGGGAGATTTCAGGGAAGAGCACTCAGTATTCCAGATGAAACTAGCAATGTTGGAAGAATTCACCTTTTTTCATTCTCTAAGATGGTGTTTCTCAAAGTTTGGTCCATGGATCATCGACATCAGAATCCGGCGAGGACTTGTTAAAAATGCAGGTTCCTTGGCCCCTCTCCAGACCAAGTAACTCAGGGCCTCTTAGGGTAGGGCGAGGAATCTGCATTTCAGGGAGCATCCAGGCCATTTTCCTGCATGCTCACATTTGAGAACCACCACTCTAGGTTATATGACCAGGCAAGAAAAACGGCCTTAGAGGATGGACCTGCTCACAGTGACCCATCCTGTGGGTCGACCCATCCTTTATCGACTTGTTAAAAATGGCAGATGGTATTAAAATGAAAACTATGCTTCTAAGGATTTGTTTACTACAAGGAAGAGTGTCACCACCACATTAGTCTCCTCTTCCAACTAAGTCATCTTTCTTCTGTGCATTATAGATTCTGTTCTTGGAGGACTACAGTGGACACTTGGCTTAACTGGCTGATGGTTTTGCTGTGGGTCCAATTCTGGCTGACTTTATGGGGCACTTTGATCTAGAAGACTGCTTGAAATGATCATTGTTGTCTCATGTGACATTTTCTGTTTTCTTGTTGAACAGCAAATATGCCAGAGGATTATCCTGATCAGTTTGATGATGTCATGGATTTCATTCAAGCCACCATTAAAAGACTGAAAAGGTCACCAGATAAACAAATGGCAGTGCTTCCTAGAAGAGAGCGGCATCGGCAGGCTGCAGCTGCCAACCCGGAAAATTCCAGAGGAAAAGGTCGGAGAGGCCAGAAGGGCAAAAATCGGGGTTGTGTCTTAACTGCGATACATTTAAATGTCACTGACTTGGGTTTGGGCTACGAAACCAAGGAGGAACTTATTTTTAGATACTGCAGCGGCTCTTGCGATGCAGCTGAGACAATGTATGATAAAATATTAAAAAACTTATCCAGAAATAGAAGGCTGGTGAGTGACAAAGTAGGGCAGGCATGTTGCAGACCCATTGCCTTCGATGACGACCTGTCGTTTTTAGATGATAACCTGGTTTACCATATTCTAAGAAAGCATTCCGCTAAAAGATGTGGATGTGTCTGACTCCGGCTCCAGAGACAGCTGTGTATTGCATTCCTGCTACAGTGCAAAGAAAGGGACCAAGGTTCCCAGGAAATGTTTGCCCAGAATGAAGATGAGGACCAAGGAGGCGGAGGCTAAGGAAGAGGAGGAGGAGGAGGAGGAGGAGGAGGAAGGCAGCCATCGTGGGAGCCTGGTAGGGGGAGATCCAGCTACAGAAAACTGGACAGGAGAGAGATAAAATGGCCGTCTGCATTCTCCAGGACGGCAGCCGATGTCACCAGAAGCTCAGGTCTGATATTCCTGGTTGGCTGTTGCCATCGTTTCAGCTGATACAGTCCACCGTCACCGATCACGGGCGCAGTTGCGGATGCACTTGAAGAACCAAACCAGTGTATCTTCTGTGGTTTGTTTTCACATGTCTGAAGACACCAGGGAAACGGTAATCTTGGTGTCACTCCTCGTCATTACGTTTTACTGCTGAAAGTAAGAAAAGTTATATTTCTGTCACTCAGTGGAGACATACCCCAGAAAGGAGAGGAAAAGAAAAAAAAAAAAAAAGCAAAGACACAAAAGATAATAACCTTTGAATTTGAAAGCTGAGGCCTGAGGTCTACTACAACCAGCATTTTTGTGAATGGTTGGAGATCGATTTTGAACATGGTGTGTGGGGTGGGAAGAAATTGGCTAGGAACCAAAAAGGCTGTGCTCATGATTAAAAACAAACCTGAAGGTATTTCCTTTATGTCCGTGGAAACAGGAAACCAGTTGTGGTTTTCGGCAGCATTCTTGCAGGAGAGAAATAGGGAAGGCCCCCATCGCCCCGGGCGGGGGGAGCTGCCTCAGGTCTGTCCGTTTACAGAGAGACAGATGTTACATACCCAGCTCCGTTGATGCATGGTCACCAGTGACCAGAGAAGCTACTCGATGCAATGCATCTGTTTCAGATACAGAAATATAGAGATGAATATTTATTGAGATTTAAGTTATTGTTATTTATTACCGTTCACTAATGAATTTCTCTTTTTTCCCTTATTTATTAAAGTTTCTTTTCAAAGGTGCCAAAGTACATGTGCTCGCAAAATGCAAAGAAAGGTGACAAAAGGAAATTTGAATTGGGAACAAGGGTCCATGCTTTTCAAAGTATTAAAAAGTTTTTGGCTAGGCAAAAATCACTTACTTTACCTTTTTAAGAAAATCCCTCATTAATTTCCCTCAGATTTCAGCATTTTTCCCAATAAAAAGAGAAATGTTAGAGGAGCTTCCTGGCAGGCCCCCTTTCCTGGAGGCAGCAGAGACCACTGGCACTTGGCTTATTTCTTCGTTGCTCTATCACTGCACCGAAGTGCCAAATGCTCCACTCTCTGTTGTATTTAAGCTCTTACTCCCCTCTACGTGTATCTATAATACGCATAACCATATGTATAAAAGATTAAATTCCTCTTAGTAGGTAGTCCAGAATTTAATGTTGACCTAAAAGTAAAGTAAACAATTCTGTCAGGGAGCCATGGTTTTGCCTGACCCGTGGAGGCTCTTCCTCCATCCTTGCCCCCCACCGCCTTCCTGAGATAACTACTGGCCACCCAGTGCAGCCGAGGGGCACACGGACAGCCTCCCAGGAGGGGGTTCAAGCCCTGTGGCTGTCGCCTCGGGCCGCAGCCGCTGCTCCTGTCCACCCAATTGCTCGCTGGGAAGAAGGTGGCTGAGAAGGGTGCTAAGGAAGCCACGTGGGCCGGCGTGTCCACACGCAGGGCCTCGCGCTCAGGGCGCGCCGCCTTTACGGTGAAAGAGTTCCGAGGGGAGGAAGCGGAGGGTGGGAACAGCGGGATCCTACGTACTGCCCCTCGCGGATTTGTCTGGGAGCCGACACATGCGCGATGCCCTATACTGGAGCTTGTCACACATTTCATAAAAGGGATTTCCATCAATGAGATAATCTATCACTACTTTAGTGGCGATTAGCCACAAAAGTATGACAGATTTAGTAACTGAATGACCCACTGGCCTTCCTCAAATAATCATGTTAATTTCACAAAGTAACCAAGCAGCAGCAGACATCCCCTCCCCCTGCCCCAGAAGACCCACGTTCTCCATCGTTCAACCCCTCTCTGTCCTTTCTGCTCCCCTCGCTCGACTGGGAAATAGAGGACAGGGCTTCCCTCCCACCCTCTCCCGGGGCCTTGCTGATAGTCAGCCTGCTCAAAACAGTGACAACCCCAGCCATTCGGGAAGCACAATTTGGATGCAGCCCCAGGGTCCTCTGTCCAATGCAGAGAATCCTGGCAGAGGAGGTGGCTGATGTTCCCAGTGTCAACCTCAGCTGGTCCCCTCGCTCCCCATGGAGAGTCCCTGCCCAAAGGGACTGTAGGATCCAATGGGTGTTGACAACTTGTTCCCGGCATCACCCACACACCGTGAAGCAGGTTTTAACGGAAGCAGATTGCTCCATCAAATCCACAAAAGGGTAAAGTTTGTGATTTTTCTTTATCATTGCAATTGCCATCTGGTAAAGTAAGGAGTGCACTTCTTTGGAAGTTCTGACTTCTCTGATCTGTCTTGGTCGTTTGTGTTATACAACCAAAGTTCTCTACAGACTTTATTTTTGTACAATATCATTTTGTAACTTTTTACAAATAAAAACTCATTTCTATCGCTCTCTGTACTCCTGTACTTCCTCTTGTGCTGGGCCAGGCATTCATCCACGAGCATTTATTATGAGCCACCCCCTTCACAACACACAGTCCACTCATTGGTCAAGGGCCTTGCCCATCAACTCCCTGAAACCAATCACCACCCAGGTAGGGAAAAAAGTTGCAAAATTGTTCTTATTTATTCAATAAACCCTTAAAGTGTACCTACACTGTACCAGGCACTGTTCAAGGCACTGGGGATCTAACGGTGGCCAAAACAAAAATCTCTGTCTTGTGGAGTTGATATTTTATTTGGGAGGGAGACACAATATTTTAAAAAAGTAAAATATGTAGTGTTCCAAAACATGATAAATGCTAAAAGAATACAAACAGGATGTTACAATAGACAATAATAGGGGAGCCTGCTTTAATTAAAGGCGACATCAAGACTGAACTTAAGAAATATTGCTAACAAATCAAGAGCATCCCAGGCAAGGAAACAACTTGTACAAAACTCCAAGTTATGTCACAGACCGCCGTGTGGCTATTAAAAGGCGGCTTTGCCTGAAATGCACCCCTTTTTGCAATGCACGCCATCCCTCCCATGGGGACTCGGAAGGAATCACTGGTACGGACTTGAGGGCCCAGGCATGTAGAGTCCTCCTGCCAGGACAGCTGGAAGAGGCTCGAGGGCAGTGCTGAAGCCAACCCTGTTCTCTCTAAGCCAAAATTCCAGTATGGAGTCAGTGACTTGGAAAGGAAACAGAAAGATGGTAGAACTCTTGCTTACCTCCACTCCTTTTTTTCCGAAGTGTGTCCAGGATTACTAACTGGGGAGATGCTCCTAAAAGAAAAAGGAGGATGGAGTGGTTCTCCAATCAAATCACTTTTGAAAACATTGAGTCAAACAACATCAACCCAATTTTTAAAGTTTAAGAGATAACTGTAGAACTTATCAGAGCCTTTATTAGACCAACAAGCATTTTAATAGTCCAGGAGGGGTGTAGTGTACAGAATTTCCCAGTATAGACTTGACCATGAAACCACTCATTGTTTTGCTTTCTTTCTCATAACCCCTGGTGACCGCCCTTGGGAACTACTTTGGGCCGTGTTGCCTATTCCCGTAAGTTTCAGGATGAGTCAAAAGCTGGACTAGAGATTAATAAAGAGGCAGAAAGTTCTGGGCAGCTCCCCACAGGGAGGAACACCTCTCCCCAAACACAAACACAAACACACACACACACACACACACACACACACACACATGCATACACCACACATGCATTCTGGGTACTTGGACGTTGGTGTCTTGCTCAGCATGAATAACAAAATGATTAACCTGTGGTCAACTTTAGAACTGTCATTCAACTGAGAAAGGGAGAATGTGTCGAAAGCTGAGAAATCTTTAGCAGCATAGAAAAAGAGAACTTTCACCATGTTTCTCCCAAATCCTTCCTGGGCTCACATTATTTGAGATCGCTAGTTCCTTGCCCGGCCTGTGGTCCTGAGGGATTGCTCCCCTCACAGCCAGGGAAGGCCTCTCTCTCAGGGTGTTGGGCTCTGAATTCCCTGCTGCTGAGAACAGAGGAAGGGCACCGGATTAGACACCTGGACACCAGGCTCTGACAGCCCCATACTCCCGGGCTTGTGCCCAGGAGACCATCTCAGGCTAGTTCCCCCCTGTTAAGGAGGTACTCTGCAGTGTGGTGTGTGCTGAGTGAACACCTTTAAAAGAATCGATCTGCTTCCAAGATAGAGGTGGAAAATCAGAATTTCCTGGACCTAAATCTCAAAAACAGAAAAACCCCTCTTCACACACTGGGTCCTCCTTGGGCTACAATTGATTTTTTCTCTGACACCAGGATCATGGGGGGCAGGGAGCCTGAGACCCCCCACTCACAGCCCACCCTTGCTTCTCAGAGCACAATGGCAGGGAGGGGACACAGGTCTCAGCCAAGGGCCCCTGGCTTTTTTCCATCAGGTAATGAAATGTCTGAGCACAAAGTGCCTTCTTGAAACACACTGTTGTTAACGGAGGTGCTACTGTAGTCCCATGCAATAGTTAACTCATCTTTAGTCTTGGCCACACAACATCCGAATGAAATTAAAACCAAATGCTGCCAAGTCATCCCTGAAAATAGACAGTTGGGGAAATAAAGGGATAGCACACATTTACTCCTACATGACCGCTAATATGCTGCCATGGTCCCAGGCGCATGGCAGCTGAGCATCATGAGGGTGGGAGTGCAGACCGGGGGAAGACGAGCTGCATGGGGACAGAGGTGTGGAGAGAGTGCTAGAGCGCCTGCGAGGGAGCAGCAGGTGGGAAGAAGAACTGGAAGGAAAATGAGTCAGAGACAGCTACAACGTTAGGTTGCCCCATACAATAGTTAA